GACTCACCCTGCATCTTAATCATGTTTGTATTCACAGTGCCTGAAACAGTTCCTGTAATATATTAATTATTCAAAGATATTCTGAATGAATGAAAGATGAGTTTAGAATGTATTGATGAAGGGGCTTCATAGAGGAGGGTACACTGACTTTGTTTATGATGGAAGAAATACTTTTAATACACAGAGGAGAGACATGAAGACTTCCAGAAAAGGGGTTCTGAGAGGGATAATAAAATTTCACAGGTATGAGTAAGCAAGAGAATTTGTTGGTACAAGGTGAGACAGTAACACAGCAGAATTCACATGAGGTCTCTTCTCTTGTCTTTTATACTTTGGTGATTTTCCTTTATTTCTGTCTTTCTTTTCATGCCTGTATAAAACTTTATGTTTACTTCAATATTTTTATTTCTCTAAAGGAAAAAGCCCATTGAGTCTCAGAGTGTGAGACTAGCTCAGCGTTTTCTTGATATCAGCACATACACATCTTAGTTTATTTTTCTGGTGGCCTCTTCACTCATGGCCCCGCACTGAAAGGAGAAAAAAAAAAAAAAAAGCAATAAGTCAATGTGCTTTCCTTGGAAATGCCTAGTAAGATGTTCTGACCATTAAGTGATCCTACAGCTCCATATCTCGTGGGAAATAGATTTAGTTGTATTAAAGATTGTCCTTTGCATTCTCACATCTTAAAAGCATGTTGTATCTGCTAAGATTATAATTATACATTATGTGAAATTAAAAAGTACTCAAATAGGAAAGAGAAATCATCCTATTCTCTTTAAAGTTTAACTTTTCCTTATTTTTCATTGCTTTCCTGGTTTGAAGGTATTTTCACACTGAAAAGGATTGTAGACACCACTGAGAGATTTTATTTAGTCCCTTATTATTTAGGCCAGACCTTTCACCAGTACCTCTGGAACTGCCTCTCTGTCATCAGCAATTTCTTCTGTTACTTGTAACCTCTCCTGGAAATGCTTCCTCCACGGTGCCTTCCTGCTTTAACAGAAGCACGGCTCTCTCCCGCAAACAGGATCATCCCTGACACCGCCATACCGACCTGAGGCCATTTTTCTTCCTGACCACTCCTCTCCGGCCTGTGTGTTGAAAAGCGTGCTCATAGGAGGCTCATTCAGGGCAGGTGCAGTCTCTGGCCTCCCTGCTGCCCCATCATCACTGTTACTTATTAAATTTCAATTGCTTCCACCCTTCACCAGGGATGTTGACACTTAATTTACAGCCTTTCTCTGCCTTCCACGGTCCTCTGCTGTCCTGGGACACCATTACAACCCCTAAGTTCCTGGATTTCCTCCTATTTATGACTTTCCTCTCTACTCCAGTTTTCATTTTATGGTCACAACTGGACCCTAACAAATGTAAGTGCCCAACTTCCTAAGAACTAAAGCAAACTTCCCAGTCACCTCTCATTCCAATTTTCTTTGCTGAGGGCTCAGACTGCCAGGATTCTGTAAACCCATCAAGATCTCCAACCTACTGATCCTTTTACTGTCTCCCCGTCCGTTCCTCCTTTTCTTTCCTCCTTTTGAGTTCACCGTGCATTCCATGGTGAAGCATCTCAGTCCCTCTCTGCCTTCTCTTGCTGGTAAATCCCCTCACAGGTGTCCCCAGCCTCCCCTTAGCCTGCACTGCAAGTGCAACACATAAGTTTGTTTTCTTTTTTCCTCATAAAACCTCTCCTGGACTGAAATCAGCTCCCTACTTTCTCACTGCTTGACCTAGTACTGTGAAAAGTGCTCAGACTACATCAGTCAGCAATGACTGTCGGTATCCCTGAAAACTGGATGTGAGCAATCTCAGACGGGCCCCAGTGCCACACAGCCAGGGTCATCTCTGTTCACTCCTCTTCCTTATTCCATCTCTTACAGCAATGAAATTAAATTTTCTTCAGATACTCCTCGTCCTTTCATCACATTTTGCTTCCTAACATAGATGATTTCTGACCGGAACTTTCTTCTCTTTCAACTACTAAGCATACAAATTGTGGAGAGCTCCCTTAGTTGTAATCCTTCTCCCCTCAATGACATCGGTATGGATGCGTTTTCTCTACCTGCCTCTGCAGGGCCATGTTCTCCCCGAGGCTCCCTGCTCCGGCCACATGTCTATGCTCCGTGCTTCCTTCCCATCGGGACATTGGCTCATGTTGTTGTCTTTGCCTGGAGAGTTCTTCGCCTCCTAAAGTTCCATTAATTCTGCCAGCATCACCTGAAGATCTTTTCAGCTTTGTGTGACTTCCTCGTGGGGCTGATTCCTCCACTTTAGATTCCCAGAGTTGACGTATTGACTGGCTTACTTGGTTTACTTCTATTTCACTCCTTTACCAGACTGGAAACTATGAAAGGCAAATAATATTATTTTATTTTATTTCAAATAAAATTACTTTGTAAATGGCTGTTTGTCCAACACTAGACATTCCACGACTAAATTTCTTCACATAACATATGAGAAAACTTAGTGCCAGCAATCTCAAATGACTTAATCAAGGCCACACGGCTGATGAGTAGCCAAGGGAGGGCTTGAATCCAAGTTTCTCTTTATCAAATGCTGCATTTGTTCCTTCTAAACTGGTATTTTATGCATTTGCTTAAGCCTTAGAGATTTTTCTCAGAGTAAATTTTTCTAGAAGCACAGTGCCTAAAAACAGATTAAAGAGATTAAAGCAGATCCCGGCTTGATTGGAGACAGCTCAATTCAACCTTGTCTAAGAAGCTTGTTTATATCTCTACATAGGCCTTCCAGACCCCTTACCAGAGCCCTGAAGAGCTTGTGTTAGAGTAACTTGGATCTGATGACTGAGACTTAGAAATAGTTCTACTACATTGACATTCAAATTGCCTGTGATGTCCCTTACACCCTCAGTGGAGGATGCACTCCTGGTATTTGTGAATTTCAAATTAAGAACAGCAATGTTACTGTCACCACTGGCTGAAATCTTTCTATAAAATCTTTCGCCACATCACATCTACATGTTTATATCGAAGACAGAAATTAATCTTTTGCCTTGTCAGTCTGAGTCCCTGAACCATGTTTAGCATTCCACCCTTAATTGAAATGTAAATTTTCTGAACAATAATCACAACAATTTCAGTGTGTCTTCTCTGTATTTATTTTATTTTTGCTAATGCTGGCAGTTGAATTACATCACTGAAATAAAAACAGACATACTACATCTATTTCCTGCAGTCACTCTCTGTGACATTGGGAGAGGGCAGCACAGGGAACTGAGAGATGCTCATTTACCACCCAAGGAGCACGTGCCCACAGCCACGGCACTGCTGGCAGTGTGTCCCGACAGCAGGCAGCACCACCGCACCACAGCTCCACCACACCACCATGTGGTTTGAACTTTGGCGTTTTTTATAAGAGTTTGAAGCACAAATGTTAAAGTCAATGACCTAAAAAAAAAGGAGACTTCTTTTTCTCTGTTTTTGTCCTGTAAATGTTTTTAATTTCAACAAAAAGCCGCAGTAATGAAAATATATAGTATATGTCTAATATTTTAGGAGTATTTAAGGATGAGATGATTAAACAAATATGGACAGTATATAGTAATTTTATGTATTATATGTATATACACAAATATACATGATGACTATATGTAACCATACATAATGAATATTATATATACATGATGAATACATATTTAACATGTATGTACAGATATCTGTGTGTATAAATTACAAAACAGTAGTCCCCCCTTAATTGCAAAGAATACATTCTAAGATCCCCAGTTGATGCCTGAAAGCTCAGACAATTCTAAGCCCTATTTGTGCTATGCTTTTTCCTATGTATATATAGACCCATAATAAAGTTTAATTTATCAATCAGGCATAATGAGAGATTAACAATAATAACTAATAATGAAATACAGCAAATGTAACAATATACTGTCACAAAGTTCAATAAGGGTGACTTGAGCACAAGCACTGTGATGCCAGGACAGTTGATTTCATAATGGGGACAGGTACTAAGTGAGCCACAGATGGGTAGTGTAGACAGCCTGGAAAAAGGGAGGATTCATATCCCAGGTGAGTGCTCAGAACAACACACAATTTAACACACATGAATTATTTTTGGAATTTCCCATTTCATATTTTTGGACTGCAGGTAAAGGAAACAGCAGAAACTACAATTGCAGATGATGGGAGACCACTGTACAGCTTTGCATACAAAAATCTCAAACTTATGAGTAGCTGTTGAATCTATTTTCCACATATCACTTGATTTATTTTTGTCACTTAATTTTTTTTAATCCTGTTTTTGCTTCTCAAGCTGTCTTGGCTCATTTGCTTCTTATAATTTTTTTATTCAAAATATTTACTATGTTTAACTTCATTTGCTTTATTTGATTATATTACTCAATCTGTAAAACAAAGAATATTCGACTCCCTAGATTTGGAGATGCTTTATCCTTCCTTGCTTTGGGAACTTTTTTCTCTCTCCACTTTTCAATTACGATCTAATGAAGTAAAGTTATAATCTTTATGAGTTGACAAACTATATTCACTGTATGGAGGCTGAATGGGTTTGTAATTTGGGAGCTCTATAATTGCTAAGATTATCATTACAGGGTGAGCAGAGCATGACATTAAAAAAACCTCATTTCCTTATGTCCTTAGCATATAATGTTGATATATTGTTATTTTTTGAAAGTCCCTCATCTACATGTCTCAGGCCTGGGAGTTGCATCTATTAACATACATTATGCTGCACTGTGACCCTTCCTTTTGCTCTCTCTTTTATGAGGGGAAGAAACACGAAAGAAAAGCTAATGCCGAAGTGGCAGCAGCAGACGAGTAAACCAAGCGTCAGATTTATGTTTGTAGTTCTTGGCAAAGTTATCAAAATTTTCCCTGAAGCATATTACAGAATCTCACTCATGATAGAAACGCCTCCCTCTCTCACTCCTGCCTTCTAAACCTCCTGAAAACCACATCTGTTTCTCCCTGATAGCTTTTAACACACATCCCTTTAATGTCTTCTAACAGGAAGTGGAAATTGAGCGAAATTTGTGTTCACCAACATTTAAGAGTCACCCTGGAAGCCAGTTGGAGGATTCTGTGAAAGATTCAGACAAGAAAGCCAAGGAAACATCTTTTGACAAGATGTCACCTAAAAGTGGTCACAGCGACATCTTTGAAGGTTAGCATAACATTTTAATGTGATTTCCTGAGATAATACCTTGTACAACATGAGTGGTTTATAAATATAATATATGAGGGATTTGTCTAAAAAATTAGGAAGGAAAATGATGATGATGTATGGCTTAGAAAAGACAATTCAGGAAAAATAAAGGGATACATATATGCTTTTATTTATAATATATTTGATTCGGATCTTTAAAACTAAATAATACATATTTCAATTCACTATAATAAGCATTGTCAGTATTAGGCTTATGGAACGATACATTTCACCATAATCTAACTTTTCCTTTTGTGATACATATTTGTCTTTCTGTTGCAGCTAATGAAAGGATAAAACATGAGTACCTATCAGTAGCTAAATGAAAAAATAAATAGAATGCCTTAAGCATCTCTTTTTCAGACAATTAAACTAAATGTGTTTAATGTATTTGGAATAAAAAGTGGCATGAAACTATGTTTTTGGGGGAAAATTTCATAACTTTGATGAATGTTTTAACCAAGGTCATTGAAAAGTTAACCACTCGTGAGAAATCACATTATTAGTTTAATTTTCAAAAATGATAGAACGCTGGCCGGGCATTGTGGTGGGCGCCTGTAGTCCCAGCTACTTGGGAGGCTAAGGCAGGAGACTCGCTTGAGCCCAGGAGTTGGAGGTTGCTGTGAGCTGTGATGCCATAGCCCTCTACCCAGGGGGATAGCTTGAGGCTCTGTCTAAAAAAAAAAAAAAAAAAAACGATAGAACGTAAAATATAAAAAAAAAAATCGAAAAATACAGATATTGTTTATCATTTCTGATTAAGCATATCCTAGATTTTTCCATTTTAGCCAGGTAATGACTATTATAAGTATTTGTTAAAGATCATATTAGTAGAAATTTTGAATATCATTTGGAATACATGTAGCAAACTATTAAGTTGTCACTCGACTTGAACAATGTTGGATGGTCTGTAGAATATTACAGTTCACACTTTGGAAAATTGTATGCTGTGCTGTAAAACTTTTCGTTCCAAGAGTTGTCTGTGAATCCAGACAGCAGCATCACTGGACGCTTATTAGAGATGCAGAACATTGCCGCCCTCCCCCCCCACCCCCATCAGTCCCAATGTATCAGAATCTGCATTTTAACAAGATCCACAGATGATTCATGTGCCCATTAAAGTTTGAGAAGCTGTACTCTCTGACAGGGCAGAATGATCCTCAGAGGAGTTAACATACGATTCAGCCGGTTCTGATTCCATTAGATTTAAGCATGCAATTTGGAACAGGAGGTGGGTGTAGGAAATACATACAGGAGTTTGCTAATGATGGACTGGGCGTGGATTTCTAAAGCATGTAAATTGGAATTTCAATCTCTTTTTCATTTTCAATTCATTTTGGAATGCCCAATTCCAAATGGGCATCCTAATATGATTAGTATCAGTATTGAGGAATTTACTCTACATATTTCTTACCTGTGATTAAACTTTATGTGCACTTGGCTAAAGGCAAAAGAATTAGATTAGCAAAGGCCAAAAAAAGAGAAACTTAGGGAATGATTTATGTTCTGATGATGCTGGCCTGGAGAGATCTTAGCAAGGGGAAGCAAAAGTGAGGTTGGCAAACTGATAGAAATTACACGAGATAACAGACTCCAGTCATCACTCCTTTCTTCTCTTTATCTGTGTTTTCTTTGGTTTCCATGCAAAGGTTTTCAAAGGTCTCTTTATCTTAAAAGCTTAGGTAATTTATTCTGGAGCATAACTATCATTTACTATCAAAATATGACTTAAATTAAAAAGCGAGCTCAGATTTACAGGTACATTGAAAATATCAAGAGCTAAACTTAAAAACATAGCATGGGAAAATTGCACTAAGGATGAATGCAGCAGCTGATTTTTTTTTTTTTCATTTTGTCTGTACATTGCACAAGAACTCTAGTTCATATGTATCACTATTTGTATTTTTTATTTCATATTGATATAGGGGTGTATGCAATTGGGTTACATTTTTTGCATTTGTTATGTAAAGTCCAAGTTGCTGTTGAGCCCTTCAACTGGGAAGTGTGCCATAGACCTCTCCATTGTGCCCAGTAGGTGAAAGCTCACCACGAACCCTCACCCTTCCTCCATTCCCTTCTTGAATTTAAATATGTTTGGCTCTCATGTGGGCATGTAGTTGTTCATCTACTAGTTTTATATTAATCTTGAGTACATTGGATACTTGCTTTCCCATTCTTGTGATACTGTACTCAGGAGGATGCTCGCCAAATCCCTCCGGGTAAATACAAAAGATGTGAAATCTCTGTATTTCTTTATAGCTGAATGGTATTCCACAGAATACATCGACCACAGTTTATTTATCCATTCACGGACTGATGGGCACTTGGTTGTTTCAACATCTCTGTTATTAGAATTGAGCTGCCATAACATTTTAGTGCAAATGTCCTTGTGGTAAAATGTTTTTTTCTTCTGGATAGATACCTGGTAATGGGATGGCAGGATCAAATTAGCTCTTTGAAGATTCTTCATACTTTTTCCCAGAAAGGCTGTACTAGTTTGCAGTCCCACCAACAGTGTATAAATGTTCCTCCTCTCTGCACCCTTGCCAGTATCTGCAGTCTTGTGACTTTGTTATATGAGTTATTATTTCTAAGGTTAGGTGCTATCTCAGGGTGTTTTTTTTTTTTTTAATTAAATCATAGCTGTGTAATGCAGTCATGGAGTACAGCGTGCTGGTTCTACATACAATCTGAAATATTTTCATCAAACTGCTAATGTAGCCTTCATGTCATTTTCTTAGTTATTGTGTTAAGACATTTATATTCTACATTTAGAAAGATTCACAGGTACCCTTGTAAGATGAACCATAGGCGTGGTCCTACCAATCACACAGGCACATGGCCTACAGATATATGAAAAAATGCTCAGGGTGGTTTTCGTTTGCATTTCTCTGATGATTAAGGACCATGAGCATTTTTTCACGTGTTTGTTAGCCATTCATCTGTCTTCTTCAAAAGGTTCTGTTCATGTCTGAAAGTTAATCACAATGATAATGGGATTGTTTCCTCTTTTCTTGTTGACTAGTTTGAGTTTTCTGTGGGTTCTGGTTCTTAAACCCTTGTCAGATTCATGACAGATGAATATCTTCTCCCGCTCTGAGGTTGTCTATCTGCTTTAGTTATTACTCCCTTAGCAGTATGTCACTACCTTTAAGAGAAAGAAAATCCTTTCACTGTGAATTGAATTGAATTCTTTCAATTCTTCTATAGTGCCTCAAATTTCTATTTCCAGTGGGTCAATAATAGAATTCTCTCATACTTAACTCAGTTAATTTGGACAGCCTTTATAAAAGCTTGACAAAACCTAAACTACCAAAGAATATTTTGATATTGCTGGTTTGTTACAAAGATTGATTTTATTCTAATGAGATTAACACATGTATCAAAATAAAATATGATAACCGTAAGTTCTCAAAGTTTATACAATTACATGAATGACTGTGATAACCTCATATACAAGTTAAATACCTTCACTAGCCACAGGAGTTTCATACTTGTGGCAGTACTTATTTATAGCTTTTTCATAAACAGTACATTCTTAAACTCGCACTTGCCTTAAATCATTAAAGTGTAGCTGCCTAATATCCTGCATTTTAAGATTTAGTATACAATGTATATTGTTAACTTCACCCCAGGACTCAGGACTGATAATGCCTGTTGGATTAGTTCCTGCCGTCTGTTCTCCATTGAAGGTGTGTGGCCGCACAGAAAGGCAGAATGATTTTCCCCAACCTCCTTTCTATGCCTGACTATCCACTGCCATGTTCAGTTGCTCTCCCCACTTCTATTTTGTTTGCTCCGTTTTCTTGCGTATGTATTGGAGGCAGGTAAAGCAGAGTGTTCAAGTGCATGCTGGTGCAATCCATTCACGTTTCCTTTGAAATATACCATTGTGGGTGGCTGTTCCAGTTATTCTAAGGAAGACTTAGCTCATGTAAAATTAAATGTCAAACATAGGAAATCCATAAGTTGATAAATTTGGGTGATGTAATAGATATGAAAGGGAAAGTAAATCAGTCAATACAAATGATTTTGAATAATTGTTTCTATTGCACTAACATAAAAACATGATTTGAGAAATTTCCTGTAGGTATTTAAAAAGCAGCAAGTTGGAAACTGAATAACAAGAGTCTTAGTTACTAAGATTTGATCTACAGGTGTATAAGGGAAAAATCTATTTTTTTCTACTGAAAAACACTGGAGCAATGAATGCTTTATTTAGCACAGGTGAATGGGTGATGTTCATCAAACTTACATTCCTTGGAGGTTTTTTTAATGTGACAATTGCCTGCTTTTCACTTTTATTCTCTAAACTATAATTTTAATTTTAATCTTCTAAGTCATCAACATGTAAAATGCTAACAGACAAAATATATATTCAAAGTCACTTTTTCAAGGCTTTTGTAATAAACCTTGGAAATTGCCTGCTGTATTTCTCTTTTTATTCTGCTCCATTAAAACTAAATTCACCCTTTATTCTTATAATAGCCATTCATCTCCTCTGACTGATTTTACAAAACAAACTAAGGGCTCTGTTCTTTTCAATTTTCTGCTACTCATTAAGTGGTGGGATGCTTCCAGTTATTAACGTTTCTAAAATATTGAAGTACATCTAGTATATGTATCTGTATAAGTGACTTTACGTATCATATTTTTGTTTAAAATCAGAAATTTTAGAGTAATGCTGCCCACTATAAATTCATGTGATAATAATAAAAGTTCCCTATATCTGTGTGGTCCAATAAGGTAATCACAAGCCACGTGTGGCTATTAAGCCATTAATGTAATTAATTTCATTGAACTATATGAATGTACATGAAAATAGTCACTGTGGTGGACAGAAACGTTATGGAAGATGACATTTGTTCAAGGAACTCACTGTTCACCCTTTGCATGGGAAGTGATTCGGATGCTAGGGATTCATTTTAAGTTATTTTTCAGCTGCAAATATATCTTTA